CTTTGATTGTGGACTGGATGGCCCTTGGGGGTCTCTTCTGGCTCTAGGATTCTAGAGCAGAGGCTGTCTATCGGGAATGCTTTGATTGTGCCTTCCTGCATGGCAGGGGATTGGGCTGGATGGCCCTTGGGGGTCTCTTCCAACTCTAGGATTCTAGAACCGAAGCTGTCTATCGGGAGTGCTTTGATTGTGCCTGTACTTATTGTAATTTTTACATTGTTATGTGTGCATATGTTTTATGTTAATATGATGTTATTGTTTTCGGTTTGTGTTTTGGTTTTCCCCCCCTTTATTGTAATTCTGATTTGGGCTTGGCCTCATGTAAGCCGCTCCGAGTCCCAACTGGGGGAGAGGTGGCGAGGTATAAATAAAGTTTATTACTATTATTATTATTATTATTAATATCATTGTGCCTCCCTGCCTGGCAGGGGGTTGGACTGGAAGGTCCTTGGGAGTCTCTTCCAACTCTAGGATTCTAGAACAGAGGCTGTCTATCGGGAGGGCTTTGATTGTGACTCCCTGCCTGGCAGGAGGAGGTTGGACTGGATGGCCCTTGGGGTCCCTTCCACCTCTGTGACTGTAAGATTTTATGACAAGCTGGAAGGCCATCTGTCGGGAGAGCTTTGATTGTTTCTTCCTGTCTGGCCCACCAGGTCTCTTCCAACTCTAGGATTCTAGAACAGAGGCTGTCTATCGGGAGTGCTTTGATTGTGCCTCTCTGCCTAGCAGGAGGAGGTTGGACTGGATGGCCCTTGGGATTCCTTCCATCTCTGTGACTGTAAGATTCCATGACAAGCTGGAAGGCCATCTGTCGAGAGAGCTTTGATTGTTTCTTCCTGCCTGGCCCACAAAGTCTCTTCCAACTCTAGGATTCTAGTACAGAGGCTGTCTATCAGGAGTGCTTTGATTGTGGACTGGATGGCCCTTGGGGGTCTCTACTGGCTCTAGGATTCTAGAGCAGAGGCTGTCTATCAGGAGTGCTGATGGGCCTTGGGGTTCCTTCCATCTCTGTGACTGTAAGATTCTATGACAAGCTGGAAGGCCATCTGTCGGGAGAGCTTTGATTGTTTCTTCCTGCCTGGCCCACCAGGCCCCTTGGGGGTCTCTTCCAACTCTAGGATTCTAGAACAGAGGCTGTCTTGTCAAAGGCTTTCATGGCTGGAATCACTAGGTTCTTGTGGGTTTTTTTGGGCTATAGGGCCATGTTCTAGAGGCATTCTGTCCTGACATTTCACCTGCATCTATGGCAAGCATCCTCAGAGGTAGTGAGGTAGTGACCTCACTACCTCTGAGGATGCTTGCCATAGATGCAGGCAAAACGTCAGGAGAGAATGCCTCTAGAACATGGCCCTATAGCCCAAAAAACCCCACAAGAACCTAGAGGCTGTCTATTGGGAGTGCTTTGATTGTGCCTCCCTGCCTGGCAGGGGGGTTGGACTGGATGGCCCTTGGGGGCCTCTTCAGGCTCTAGGAGAGGCTCTCTATCGGGAGTGCTAATAGGCCTTGGGGTCCCTTCCATCTCTGTGACTGTAAGATTCTATGACAAGCTGGAAGGCCATCTGTCGGGAGAGCTTTGATTGTTTCTTCCTGCCTTGTCTCTTCCAGCTGTAGGATTCTATGAGAACACCTGGAGGCCCAAAGGTCTTATCTGCATGTACCTGTGTGCCTGGGCAGAGATGCCTTCCTCCCTTGGGGAGAATGACAGGGGGCGTGGCTTCCCCTAGGCCACGCCCCCGTGTTATTTTCCTGAGGGAGAGGAGGGCAGAGGCCCCGCCCACAGAGCGAGCGAGCGAGCGACCCCGAGGCCCCCTCCTCCCTATTATTATTGTTGTTGTTTTTAGTGGGCGGGGCTCCGAAGAGGCCCCGCCCCTCGCCTCAGCCCGCTTCTCAGTCACTCACCCTCAGGCTTCAGGCCTCCCTGCAGGCCTCATCCGCCTCCTCCTCCGCCGCCTCGGCTCCGATCCCCGCGCAGGCCTGCCTCCGAGGCGGAGGGAAAGGCCCTTCTCCGGCTCCGCCGCCTGCCTCCCTCGCGCCCCTTTCCCCCTCCGCCGCCTCCGGTGTCGCCTCAGCCCTCGCCGCCCTTCTCCTCCTCCTTCCTCCTCTTTTCTGCCTCTTCTCGCGAGACTTGGGGGCGGCCGGCCGCGAGATTTCCTCCCCCTCCCTCACATCGGGGCGGGGCCACACCGCCTACCCTTCCACAGCCTCGCGAGATTTGGCTCCGCTCCCTTTCTTCTCGCGAGACTCCGAGCCGCCCTTCTCCTTCGCTCTCTCGTGTCTTCTTCTTCTTCCGCAAGGTCGTCCTGAGCTCACTTGGCCACGCCCCCTTTCCTGCGCATGCGCCGGAACGATTGGCTCGCCACGCCCCCTTTTTGCGCATGCGCCGGAATGATTGGTAGGATACTCGTCTCTTCTAGGTGTCGCCTCTTCCGCGCATGCGCTCTCTGCACTAAAATGGACCACACCAAGTCGCGATTGGCTCTTCTAGGAGTCGCCTCTTCCGCGCATGCGCTCTCTGCACTAAAAATGGACCGAACCAAGTGGAGCAGAGGAGGACGGGGGAGGGAAGCACTTGGACTGTACCAAACCGACGAATGGTGGGGAAAGCATTGGAATGGACCAAAATACTACTATTAATAATACAATATAATAATTTATTATTTATTACAGGTAATATTACTAATAATAATGCAGTTTAGTGCTGTAGTACAATGTAATGTATAATACAAATACTGTCCTGTGCTAATAATATAATATTTTGTATGCACATATAATATTGGCCATAATACTAATATAATAATAATACAATATAATTATAATAAAATACTAATAATTATATATTATATATTACATGTAATATTACTAATAATATTGCAGTTTAGTGCTATAGTACAATATAGTAATGTATAATACTAATATTGTGCTGTGCTAATCATATAATATATTGTATGTATATATACTATTGGAAATAATGTTATAATCCAATACAATATAATACTAATATTGCACTAATATTGTGCTGTGCTAATAATGTAATATATTGTATGCACATATATTATTGGTCATAATATTATAATATTATAATGCAATACGATATAATACTTTTTTTTTACTTTTTTTTCCATTTTCTTTATTGGGTTTTACAACTTTATACATACTAATAATATAACAATGCAATACAAAATACTACTAATAATAGATTATAATAATATATAATAATATTATCCTATAGTATTTATTTATTTATCGAGTCATCAGCAACCAGTCAATTATATTACATTTCTAACAGAACAAAGCAAACAAATAGAGAAAAATACAAAATGTGTGAGTTTGGTAGTTGATTACGGTAAATGTCCTTTGACCAGTATCTGGCCCCTTGGAGTGCCTCTGGTGTTACTATAAGAAGGTCCTCCATTGTGCATGTGGTGGGGCTTAGGTTACATTGTAGTCAGTGGTCAGTGGTTGGCTCTTCTCCCCACTCGCATGTCGTGGATTCCACTTTGTGGCCCCATTTCTTGAGGTTGGCCCTGCATCTCGTGGGGCCAGAGCGCAGTCTGTTCAGCGCCTTCCAAGGTGCCCAGGGGGGAGTCTCTCATTTGGTATCAGCCATTGGTTGAGGTTCTGGGTTTGAGCCTGCCACTTTT